GAGTTTCAATTAAGACATTTTTCTCATTAACTATATGTAACACAATGTATAGTTTCACTTTATCATCCATGTGGAAAGTAGAAATTTTTCTTTTAGATTTTTTAAAAAATCATTTTTAAACTAGTATATAAAGTAATAGATTTCACTATGACATTTCAAATTTGTTCTTATTTTTCTCCTCCACTGTACTCCCTCATCCCTCTGAATCCCCTCTTGTTAAACCTCTTTCTCCCCTCAAATAGTACCCTCTTTTTCTTGTTTGAAATTCTTCGAATTTGCAAACAAGAATATTTTGAGTAACCGATATAGTAAAGACATTTTTGGTGAGAGTTCCGAGTGTTCAAAGGGGGAAAAGAGAAAAACATAATTTTTGTTCCTATATATACTACTATATGGTAGCAGTAGTAAGGTGGTGCTGAGGCAGAAGGATAATTACATTAAAGCCAACCTGGACTACATAGTTATTTCAAGGCCAGCCTTGGTTGTATAACAAGACCCTTTCTCAAAAAGAAAGAGAAAATCTATATACCACTCTCATTTCCCACGAACTTTCATGAATCATGAGCTCCTGACTAGGAAAACCTCTCCCCAATCAATTCATCCTATTTACCATCAGACCTTTCATCAACTTTATTATCTAGAAAACATGATTAAGATAACTAGAAAACATGATTAAAATAACTACTCCAAGGAAGAAAAATGGGTGAAGACATTGTTGAGAGTATGGTCTGTAGCACATCTCAAAATCCTTATATATCTCCACCCGATTCCAGCATATAAAAGGGTCAACTATTACTTTGAAAAGTAAATGTTGATCTAATGCTGTCTTTTGAAACGAGCTATTTTCAGGGTACATGAGCTATATGCATTGTAACTGATATGCTTACCTGTGACTCTAATAAATAAATGCAGCCTCCAATACTTTTCTTCTTCCTGAAATGAGCATGAATTATATAAGAGGGAAAGAAACAGTACAAAAGCAAGCTCATCCATAAGTTTCCTAATTTACTGATGAAGAGATGAAAACAATACAGAAGTCTAAAGCAAAATACATTTTCAAGGCCCTGCACACATGTGGTCCCTGAAAATGAAATACAAAAAGCAAAATGTTGAAAATTTTCTCCAGAGTTGCAAGTTTTGAAATACAGAAGGAATTATAAACCTCATGTTTTTTTTTTTTTTTTTTTTTCTGGTGATACCTAAGAATCTGCTTTCCATTTTAACATTTCTTTGGTCTCTTTGTTAGTTGAAATGCTAATACAGAATGCTGCCAGTGACATACAAGACCCTTTAATGGACATTCTGAGATTGAAAACTCAAGGAGGTGATTGCTTCTAGTTCAGTTGTATGAACTCAAATGCTTAATATTAGGTAAAATCAGCGGTTTCTTCCTAAATTCTCAAGACTTTGTGTAAGTTTACCCTATTTACATAGCACAGCACTGTATGTTGCTGACAAATTCCAATGTAGCATGCAACAGTGGTTTCTAATTGCTTTAGCATTTATCATGCACAAGAGACGGGAGGGAAGTTGTCTCATTTTGTACAGCTCAGTTGCATTCCTTATCTCTGAAGTACACTTAAGCAGCAAACTGGTACTTAAGGTAGCTGCGTGAAAGCCAGCATCTATTAACATGCATATCTTGGAGGGAAAATGAATTGGATTTTCTAAAACGGAATACAGCCCAACCTCATTCTGTGCATTAATTTTGCATAATTTCACTTTTGCACATTTTATAAATGAGAGGCCATGCTCTGAGTTACCCACATAAATTCTCATGCTCATATTTTCCAGGTTATGCCTTATGTCAGCTTTGTTTGCAAAACATTTCTTAAAAGCATTTTGGTGCATTTCCAAGATGTCTTTTGAGGTCAATTAGCACCTATTAATGTTTTTCTAAACAGTCACTGGATGTGCTTACCCAGTGTGTACTTAGGCATCTTTTATCTGACAAGTGTTCTGAAAGGTTTTATGTTTTAAAGAAACAGTACCCATTTTCCTGAAAATGACATATTTTGTTATGCTTTATAGCTAAATAAAATTCCATTGTGTAAACATATCCTGTGTTCTTTATTCATTTCTCTGTTAATTGACACCTAGGTTGATTCCATAACTTGGCACTGAGAATAGGATGTGAAAGTAGAGACAAAACTATCTGGAGGGATGAATGGGAATAAGAGGAAGGTAGAGAAAATGAAGGGTGCATTGAAGGTTAAAATACATGATATATTTGCATGGAAATGACTTTATAAAACCCATCACTATGTAAAATAAATATCTGCCCCCAATTTTTATAGTAAAAAATGAAAGAACCCCTTGACATCTTGTAAAGACTATTTGGTTACCATGCATGAGACAAGAAGAGTGAGGAAGCTGAAGTTTTGTGTACTCTTATATATAGGTGCTTCCCGCTACTGAGTTGTGTTGATTGTCAGCTGTCTGTCCCTACTATTCTGGGAATTCAAGTTGTTAATAATTAATGCCTAAGCTGGGCGGTGGTGGCGAACGCCTTTAATCCCAGCACTTGGGAGGCAGAGGCAGGAGGATCTCTGTGAGTTCGAGGCCAGCCTGGTCTACAAATCGAGTTCCAGGAAAGACGCAGAGAAACCCTGTCTCGAAAAAACAAAAAAAACAAAAAACAACAACAACAAAAAAGAATTAATGCCTAAATGAGCATACAAAGATAACATGCTGAAAAGCAACAATGTATGCATTTATCTTTGAAAATTCATTGGAAATGAATAATATATATGTATATATTATTGTACATACATAGTTCCATAATATGAAGATTTTATGTATATGTTGTTTGTATACTGCATGAGTATATATGTACACATACTCACTATATGTGAGTTAGTATTTATAAATTTTTATATACATGCATGAAATTAGAATAACTGAAGTTCCTGTTGTAGTGTCTCTTTTTTCTTTTTATTTATTCTTTGTTTCTTTCACACCATACATTTCTATCTCATTCATTTCTTGTCCCTTCATATGCACCCTCTGACCTTGCAACCTCCCCCACAAAATAAAATAAAATTTAAGAGAAAAAAGAGAAAATCAGTCTCATCATGGAAGCTGTATGGTGACACAGTGAGTCATGCAGTAAATGATTTTATCCATATATCTTTACTTATAAGTGTTTATTGCAAAGAGTCATTGGTCTGGTCCAAAGCCTCTGGATTCTGCTATATTATCAATGCTAGACTGTCACTGAGACTCCTCTTGGATATCCTATTGCCCTGTGTCATGAGATCCTGTAGCTTTGGGTCTGCAGGAGGACCCCTTCACGTGCTCCAGCAGATCACAGATGGGGTGGATGTTGGAGTGGGCCATCACATAACCTTGGTTCTGAGCCTGGGTAGTTGCAGGGTTGGTCAGCTGACCATTTCTCCCTTGTGAGCTCTCCCAGGGTGAGCTCTCCAGCCATTGCCTTATCTAGTTCACCCTTCGCAGCAGTGAGCAAGGGGGCCAATTTTCCTGCTTTCATGTCCTTGGAGTCAGATATCCCACACCTACACCTTCACGGCTAGCTCTACTGTGCTGCACAGCAGCCACTCTCCCAAGTGTTGCAGCTGGTAGAGGACAGGGCCAGCTCTCCTGCTCTTCTGACCTCAGGGCCAGCTCTCCCACCAGCCTCAAGTGTTGATGGGCAGTGGGAGAAGGGCATTTCTCTCCCACCCATGCTGCCCACATGACAGATGAGTAATAGGGACAGCTCTCCTTTGCTCACAACTTCGAGGCTGGTTCACCCACACCTCTGCCAGTGGAGTTGGCTCTATTGTGCTTCCCATTCAAGGTGCAGGGCCTGCTGTCACAACTGTTGTAGCTGGTGGGGGACTGGGCAACTTTCCCACCCTTGTGATCTCAGGGCCAGCTCTTCCCCACCCGTGCCACCATATGATAGATAGGTAATAGGGACAGTTCTCCTATGCTCACAACTTCTCGGCTGCTTTACCCACAGCTCTGCCAATGGAGTTGGCTCTATCATGCGAAGTGCAGGGCCTGCTCTCCTGAGTGTTGTAGCTGGTGGCAGGCAGCAGCTCTCTTGTACTTATGACCTCAGGGCCAGCTCTCCCACCTGCCTCAGGCATTGATGTGAGAGGACAGGGAGTGGGAAGGGCATCTCTCTCCTGCCCATACCATACTGTAGCATCTCTAATGATAAAGGTACTTTAATTATATTTTTCCATTGTAATATTCTGTTACATACATCCTCTGAAATGTACCCGGAAATCACAAGCTGTACAATCAGCATAATGGTTTGCATAGAGGCAGCTTGTCTACACATGATTGGAGACCTGCCTTTTTCACCCTGTAGCCCATCCGACCTGTGTGCACCCACTGGTTCCCAGATTTGCTCTCATTTTTCTATATGGCAAGGATGACTTGGGAAAGGCCGAATAGGTAATGGGATAACCATATCTTTTAGTGTTTCTTAAAGTCTGTGGATTCCAAAAAGACTGACATAATTTATAAATGAATTCATGGTATTCAATCTACTCTTCGTTCTGTAGTCCATCAGTGTGAAAATGCTGTCTAATGGTGTATTTTCCATGTACTAATATTTTCTTTTTCCATGATTAAAAATAAGGCAATGAAAAGGGAGGCCTTCAAAGGATAATGTTAAGTGGCAAGGAGATAAAGTCCAATTATAAACAATTACCTCACTCTCCTGGGGTAGTTGATTCAATATAGTAGTCATTATATGGAACTGTTGTCGTGGTCCACGAGTAAACTCAGGGCAGTCATTTTGTAATGCTTTATACAAGTATCACTTCTACATTTGTAGACTCAAAAGTAAGTTGATTCTATTAACTATATCAAAAAATTTCATGTTTGTAGGGAAAGTGACAGACGTGTTTTAATTACCACAACTGCTTCATTCTGAGAAATGGCTGACAGTCAATTCTGCAAAATTGACTTGTAATGAAGTCAATATACTTGTAATGAAGTCGAGACAACTGTATAAAGAAAAAAATGAAACTTCACTCAAATAAGTTGCATGAACACATTTATTGCAAGTAGCTCTATGGAAAAGCAAGTCAGATATATATATAAACACTATACAGAGTTGCAAGGTTGTCTCCCAAAACTGCAAATGAGATGCTTACAAACAAGAAAGTTTAAGGGTATTTACAAAGGAAGACAAACACAGAGCAACTCAAAGCAGGTCTGTGAAGCAGAAATAGCAAATGTAATGAACCGTCGGAACTGTAAAGCTTTCGTTTTTACTGACCAAGTAACTATGTATGACACCAAACTAATGTAGCAGTCACACACACAAATCGTTCCATCATTGCTTTTTCTCAGCAGCTTAAACATCACTGGAAGGTAAGTGGTGTGTCGGTACACATATTCCATAGATTCTTCCAGCACAATACTGAATAAATTAATTCATTTGATCTGTAAACTAAGAAGTTGTGTCAGAGAGATTGCATATTTGTTATGCTGTACCTGTGACTATTTGTACCTGTGACTAATTGTATGGACTGTTGTGTATGAGGTTTCCATTCATTTATTCAGCAAGTGTGCTACCTCTGTGCTCTACCTTCTGTACCCTGTCTATTGGCAGCCCCTAAACCGAATATGTGAGTAAAGGAATACAGCAGTTTCCCCCAAAATAATCTTTTCCTGCTACAATTCTGAATGATTATGACAACTCACTTGAATATAAAATGGTAACAGAAGGCCTGAAGAAAGGCTGCCTAAAGAGTACACTGTTACGATGAACAAAAGCCACACTGCATTACCGAATTAGGTAGGAATAAGAGAGGAGTCTGAAGGGACTGATGAAAGTGATGCCCTAGCAATGACCAGAAACCGGGTCAGTGACTGGCATTGAAGCTACATCCTCTCAGCACAATTCACACAAGGAAAAAGGAGCACCCCCCCATCCCTTTGCTTGGTAGGCAGGGAGAAACAGTAGAAGTCTACTCGGTTCTTTAGAAAGTTAGTTCAGCAACATGTACTAGAAGCCTGCTCAAAGATAGAAGCACACGTTCAAAGATGTAGGAACCGAGTGGCAAAGAACTTCAGGTAAATATTACACTACTTCAAAGTTGCACGTTAAATGCGAAGCAATTTTTTTTAAAACAGAGTTACACACAACAGGTACGTCTATAATCACATGTTCACAGGTACACAAGGGTGTTCATACACACAAATGTGTGCATATACACACTAGCACTCACACACTTTTGCAGACACTTGCTCAAACACTCACACCCATCTGTGAGATGATGAGGTTTGCCAGTGATGGTACTACAGCCAAGAGCTGTATGCCAACACATAACAAAGCTCTAAGCAAGCTTCAAGACCTTTGTTTCTATCCTGTGTGGTCACCACCTGTTGTTATCATGTTCTCAAAGGCCCAGGTTCCTGAAATCTTAATTCAGTTTCCATCAGAGGCAAGCAAAAATAGGAATGGGGGAGCTTGCTCTGATTTTTTTCTTTTAAATTTTGTACATCTTATATTGGCTCAATTGTCCAGAAGGAAACAAGGCCATATAAGAGGTTCCTTTTGACTTAAATTTTAGGCAGATGATCAATTGATAGGTAAACACTAATTCCTGAATATGGGAAACTAATTTCTTTATAGGTGTCCTGGGCATGGGAGGGACAATGGTTACTGGGGGAAAGGACAGAAAGAGGGGGAGACAGTTTGAAGAATAGGAGGGAGGAGCCCCCAGAGAGGCAGAAAGGGTCTTTTGAGGCAGAGGCTTGCCTCTTTTCAGGGATAAATGTAGGTTTCAAAATAAAATCAAAACAATAGGTTTGGAAATGTTCAATCCACTAGCAGAACATGGCAGGTTCCACATGAACAAGTAGACAACCTGCTCCTTGACTCTGCCTTTAAAATGCTCTGTCAAGGCATACGTTAGTTGATTATAAGTGTCGATAGAATGCTGTAGTATTGTTAATGAGCAAACTCAGAGATAATTTGCCCTTTAGTCGTGTCTTTAAATATTGAAAATGCCTCGGCAAGATAGAAGTTCAGTTCACATTAATTCCTTGATCAAGAAATGTCTTAAGTATGCATTAATCAGAAAAATATTCCAGATCATACCTACCTTCTCATTCATTAATATGTTTATCTGCCATTGTTTAAAGATGTTCACGTTGAAATTTCATCCAAGTATTATATGTCATTAAAATTGATGCTGGCTATATTTACACAGACTGAATATATTTTAAGAGAGGAAAAGGGAAGTGTTATGAGATACTAACTTACAGCATCTCATTCCTTTCAAAGAGATAGATCAGGGAAACTAGGAAACAAAGCCAATGTACAGTGTGCACATCTTTAAGTCAATCAATGGATCCAGGGGGCAGTAGTGAGAATGAACTCCATGAGCAGGCTCATTCAGTTGCCACAATCCAGTTGACTGGTAGAAATTGAGGCTAGTTTCTGTTCAGAAGCCTCAGAATTTTCTTTCTTTTAGGCAGATCTGGAGTAGACGAAGTTGAAATTCTGTGTCACTTTTCTTGTAAAGTATGTTTGGTTTGGGTGGCAATGTAATCACTATAAAAAAATGACAAAAAAATTATTTTCAAAATTAGTGTAAAGACTTGTCACCCCCCCCCCACATTTTTAAACAAAAGGAAACAAAACCTAAAGAGGTTCCTGAGAGACGCATTGAGGATACTGCCTTGGCCTAGACATGGTTAAACAGAACAGTGGGCTTCCTGTGCAGAGAAAACACAAGCTCGGCAAAACACTAGGATAATTACTCCTATACCCAGGACGCCAACTTGGTATTTCTTGTGGGCAGTTGCTTGGAATGTGTGCGCACTGTTCAACTTCATCCCAGTGGGCCCTGGAAGGGAGCCTTAGACAGGAAATGCTCTTCCTTCTCCTACATGCTTGAGTCTATCTTTACCTTAGATGACACAAGTCAAAGGATTAAAGGACAATCTTGATAAAGAAAGGTCTTCTGACCTAATCATGGAATTTCTTCTAAAAGAATTAGTTATAACTGCAAAGATTTTATGGAAATTTCCATTTCTTTACCAAAATGGTATGGCTCTCTTAACTATCGGCTTTCACGTGAGGGTGCACAACAGGGAGCATGGTGTGTAGAGCAGTGGGAATTAAGTATGTGGAGGAAGTTGCTGGAAAGAAAAAAGGGAAAGAAAATGCCCAGATTACTTTAAGCTCTGCTTACGTCAAAGTATTTAGTGTCACCTAAAAGAAGCTAAAAGAATCCATAGGAAGCTTTCTCCAGAGTAGGCTTCAAATGAAAGATCTTCATTTAAACTCTAAGTATCTATTTCTTTTGATGGCTATTTTAATGAGTGCAACAAGATTGAGCATCAAAGTCTCCGTCCTTTCCCTACCTATTGTGGTTATTAGTCACATCCATTGTTCTTTCCTTCGTATTAAAAAGCTTAAAAAGAAGTACCCTAAACTAGGAAGTATTAAATCTTCCTGTGAGCAGTACATTTGTGAAATTTTAGGTTCTATTAGGATAAAAGGTATGTGTGGTCACCACAGATTGATTAAGTGTGGATGTGCATATTAGCAACTCATTTACATGGACCAAAACTGGGCTAGGTAGGTATCATGGAATTTTATTCAGATAGCATCTACATGTTTTTAACAGAAATGTGATGTTACAAAAGTATCTCACTAATTTAGATTATATTTTTAATATATAATATCATCATAAGTTCATCTATATAGTACATTGCAATTACTTCAAATGGGGACTTCTGAGTGGCATATATTATGCACTTCATTTCATACATTTTGCAGAAATATATAAATTAAGCTCCTAGGCTACCTAAGAATTAGGACAATTTGTTGATATTGGCGTCATTTTCCTTTATTCTTTCCTTTAAAAAAAATAACAGCATCTGTAACAGAGAGTTGATGTACATTTCCATGCTTTCCTATAACACTTGTGTCAACATTGGGTGAAGAGTGAATAACCTACCAAAACCCAGCAGATGGTCATGTAATTTCAAGTTTACAAAATATGTTTGTCAATTCCTGTTTAACTATGTTAGTAGACAGGAATAATGCTTTCTAAAACAGAATATTCCCAAAATAATATAACTTGCTTTTTAAATGCATTGTGGAAACTGGAGCCACAGATTTGCATTTATAATTCTGTTTTTCTTAAACCCATATTAAAATAAGTTTACATTTCCCTGAACACATTCCAAAGAACAGCCAAAGGGAGCAATTCACAAGCTTGCTGAGTAGTGGAAGAAAGCAATTCAGAATTAAACCTCAATCCGAAAGTCTACAAAAGGAATATTAAAGAGTTGACAGTCACACCATGTGTTCGTTTCCCATTCACCACCAGAACAATGAATGGTGATGCTTTGGGTAGTGTTATCTGGTCTGGACCTATTTTTCCATTTGATAAGGACCGCTTTTAAAGATTTATTGTGTACCTCATTTTTCAATTAGTCAAAGCTCTTTTTAATATCAAGCTAATTCAACCCTTTTAATAACTGGTATACTCTTAAAGTAGGTTTTTCTTTGTAAGAGAGAAAACTTCAATGGCCTTTGATAGGTCAAAAGATGCTTCTTCCAAAGCCTGGCAGGTATCATTTTCTTCTTAAAAATTAATAAAGACATTTTTTCAATTTCAATGTGTATAATGCTATAAACCCAACATTAATCTTTACTATACTAATGAAGCACACATGACTTTAATATCCCTGGAAATGTATAGGTTGGGCCAAAAAGGCAGTTCCTCCTGGATATCCCAGACTTCTTTATAAGAATCATAAACGTGCCTCTATTAGGGTTTGAAGTCTGAAACAGTAGACCAGAGAAAGGTGTAATTCCAACAATATGTACCATTTTTCTCTCACTCTCTTTTTATTCTCCCAACTTTATTGTCTTGGTTATCTTTTCAAGTCTAATTTCCTCTCAAAGTCATATTGAAAACACTGTTCATTAGACAGCATGCTATCTTTGCAGTCTGAGAATGGTCACATTATCAGAGGTAATCAAGTAAATCAACCAAAGCAAAGAGGCCAAAGTGAATGGAGAGAAATGGAAGCCTGGGCCCCAAAGATTAATATATAAAATACATAAAAATGCAACCATGCTACTTAGCTTAGTAGTCACTGGATTATATGCAGGTTTCATCTCTTCAGTAAGAACTGTCTCCACACCTTTCTGTGCTTGATGACTATACAGGATGATGATCTCGTATAAGTTGATAAATAGGAAGTACTGTCCCTAAATCATGAAAATTAGCAAGCACTGCTGCTGGTCTTTACAATGCCAGTAAGTATTATTTCTGTGATCAAATGATAAAATATGCTTTTCTCCACCGTGGCTCTGATTTCCTCAGAGAATTGTCAAAAGAATCTGGAATGAAAATGGATGCTGCTTGAAAAGCTCTGTGTTTTTAAAGGGCAGCCTAGTTGTCTCGCAACTGCCCATCACAATCAGGCTCTGGGCCACATAGATTGGTTCATCCCAGTCCTGATTATCTAGAAGCAGACTGTTTGGGGATCAGTCACTTTATTTTTCATCCTAGGTTAGTTTCCTCACTACTTTCCAACACACGCTTGGGCTCTTTCACTCTGCTGCCTAGTTACTGCTGATGTGAAGAATGCAAGTTACTAGAATTTTAATATGTTCTGTCTTCAATTTACAAAAGACATATAGTCCCAGGTTCATTGTTTAGTTGAAACTCAGAATAAATTACCTCATAGAAACACTGTTATAAAAAACTGTCTACACATGACTCTATTTGACCTCTTCAGTTTCTGAACCAACAGAGGAACTGTTTCATCCAATCATTTCTCTGAGATGCACTGGAAGTTTCAATTTTGGACTCCAGTGAAATAGGTCTTTTAGCCATGATGGATGATAATAATAATAATGTGTCCTAAACTCAAAAGATTAAAATCACAATCACTGGTCATTCATTCAAGGGCTGAGTGGAGGAGCATTATTCAGTTTGCAATATCTATTTGGAGATATTGGCTTGATTGACATTCTTTCTACATTTCAAATCTTCAAGTAGGAAATTAGTAATCATATTCAGGCAATTTATATAACTTCTAAAATCTACTTGCCTAAAGCACCAAAAAAAACCATAAAAAAGAAACAACAAAAACATAAAAAACATACATTTCTACTGCACCCTTTCCCCTACCTGTCTTATTTTATTCTGTTTTGCTCACTGTAGTAGTTTAGATTAAAATACTAGATTTATATAGAAATAATAAATTAAACTAAGAGACTCATAATAGCTGACAAATGCCACTAGATTATCAGCAAAGGCTTAGAAATCTAACTTCAGTTAAGAAATGACTATTAATTTGGAATTTATTGAATACACCCTCATTTCACTTTCTTTCCTTTCTGATGTTACACACACACACACACACACACACACACACACACACACACACACACACACACACACAATTTGTGTTTAGGAAGTCAGAGTAGCTAACTCCTCCCTAGATCAGATTTAAGTTCCAGATGAGGTCAGATCCTTTTTTTCTGAAAGGACCGTAGCAAACAGTTCAATGTAAGAAAGATCACCTGAGCCCTGACAGATGATCTAGTTATAACAGTTTAAGTGAATCACAACGAAATTTGCTACCATTGAATTAAAGCGTACTTACGCTTTTGCTCCGAATGCTTTCATATATAATAATTTTCATCAATATAAAAGTGACAAATTAAGCACTTGGTTAAAGGGCAGTGTGATGTGCTAGATGGAGCATTAGATTGGAAAACAGATGTATGAGTTACATTTTCAGCTCTGCCACTTACCTTCATGAATACAGGAAATTTCTTAACTCCAGTTTCACTTCCAGTACTTACCATCAGTAAAATAATGAATGTGAATGTGCTTTGAAAAATATAAGGCAATCAGTCTGTAACTGGAAAGCATTCCCTCAATCAAGAAGTTAACAATTTAACAACAGTCCATTTGAAATCACACACTGTAATCCTTACTTCTTCCTGCAATGGCCAGCCGAATCTGTTCCAACATGAAGGTTGTATTTTTTTTTTTTTTTTTTGAGAAACCCTAGTTTGTTCCCCAAGATAAACGCCTGCCAATGACTTGAAGTATTTTTGTTCATGTTTGGCGATTAGAGAGAGGGAAAGAAAGCTGGAGACCCTGGTTGAGTATTTATGAATGTCTAACAGTCTGGTGTGCTTAATTAAAGTCCTGGCCCTGGTTTCAAAGAGATGTTTTGCTTGTAGCTGACATTTTTATCCTGGAAGCACCAGTCTTAAAATAGAATGAATGCAAATGAATAATGATTGCCAACAACTTTAGCTAACTTTAACTGAGTGAGGTCCTCTTTAATTGTTTAGGTCAAATACCTCATTACTCCAAAGAACTATCCAGATTTGGGAGGATGATGAATGCTACATGAAATAAGTGATCCATCAATTATGGTTGGGAAAACTCTGGTATCTAGAGATTATATTCTAGTTATTTACAATAAATAAATCCAATACAGTAAAAATGATTTGCTTTCAGCACCTGCAATTTATAGCAACAGGACTTAGCAGCAGGACAACGGAAAAAGCTTGGGCTCCCTATGTGGTGAGAATAGGACCTAAATTGTGAAAAGCTAATTACTAGATTTTGGCCTTTTAATACCAAGTACTATCATAATATAACTAATTTGGCTGACCAATTATTTCATGCCATCTACAGCTGCCCATTTCTTACTCCTATGTCTTGAATAAAAATACCAGAGAAATCTACATCCCAGATCACTTTAACCTATCAATTTTATATCAGGTAACGCATTAAAAGAAGGAAAAAGGCACACAAGGGTTGGGATGGACTCAATCACATGGGAAACGACACTCTTCTAAATGCTAATGTGCTCAAAGAAGCCTTCATCATCAAGGGATTGCTTTAAAAATATTTCATTCAATATAAAAATACATATGCAGGTTATATTCTGCATGTTTCTTTCTAATTGGCTTGCAAAGCAACTATAAAATACTTACATGAAGCTTGACTGTAGATAAATAAAGTTATGCATTCATTATTTTTGCATTGCATGATAAACTGGTCTTAATAAATCATAATATCACTTACATTATAAAAAAATTTCAATAATGATACCAACTGTGAATAATCTTATTGTGACACTTTTAATGAAAGTTAAGACTAATGAAAAAGAAACACAGAATTTTAACTTAGCTTTGTATTTCTAAATTAGTAGTTAACGGTCACAACCAAAATACTGATCTAACTACATAATAATACAAACATAGCACTTCTCTATTCCAGTTCTAAACACATTCCACAAATTGAGATTAACTTAATGAGCTATGTGACTCCTAATACTGTGTCTTTGTTCCCTGTTCACAATACTATTTGTTTCTTAGCATAACGTTTTCATTTTTAAATGCTAGATAAGAAAATAAAGGCAGAACAGAAATAGGTGATAGTTCTTCTATAACTTTAGAGAAAAACACTTCACAGACAACACTTTACCAATTCACATTAAAATGCTAACTAAAGTCATTTCCTGCAGTAGGTTGTTTCAATATCACACCTCCTTCCGTGCCCTTCCATATGATATATTGTAGAAAATTACATGTCAAATCTACCTTTAGCACCAAGAAATTAGCTAGTTTTCTGAAACACTAAATCATTAGTTTAAATGCTTGAAATTTCACTTCAGTGTTAAACCAACAACAAAATAAAAATACATTATATTTGTAAAGTGATTTCATGCTCCAAAATGCTTCCATATTCATTCACTTATTTCAATGTAAGTTCCTTCTTGTCTATGAGATACAACTTCAGTGGTGTAGTCCCTCAGTAAAGTTAGGAATTTCCTCAATAAACAATACAATTAGAGCATATTAAATCTCCACAATAGCTGCAAAGCCATTAATCAGTAATTTATGTAAACTCAATGGCCACTGGATCTTAATAATCCTCAGAAGTCAGAGTTTATTTGAAGAACAGTATGATTTCACTATTCTTAATTTATGTGTGAACAAAGATCAGAGTATTGGAAAGTGTAGGCATCATTTCAAAGAATCGCAGGGTCACAAGCAGCTACTCTGATGCATCATCTCTTTTGATGTGGTATTTTCATCAAAGTTGTACACAGTACCTTCAGCAGTTAGACTCCAACAAAAGCTTGAGGGTGATTTGGGGGTGTACTTTCTGTTTACTTGTCGCTGAAAGGCTGATTACCTGATTATAATTTCTTGGAAATGGAATTATGACTTGTAAATACGTAATTATGATAGTAGTGGTCTCTCTCTCTCTCTCTCTCTCTCTCTCTCTCTCTCTCTCTCTCTCTCTCTCTCTGTGTGTGTGTTTGTGTGTGTGTGTGTGTGTGTGTGTGTGTGTGTGTGTGTGTGTGTATGTATTGGAGAGGAGCCTCACAATTTAAAGGACTTTGGAATTGAGTGCTTTGCAAGCCAGAGCATCCTTTTGTTGTTTTAGTGATCACTCTCGTGGTGTGTCTGTGCTGGAACTGTGAGTTTTTGTAAGGCAAGTTTTCTATAGCAAGGAGAGAAGGAGGAGGTAGGGTGCTACACCTGCTCTAAATGGGGAGCTTGTAAGGTAACTGTTGTGATCAGTCCCCAACTTGTTATGCCTGATCAAGCACAGTGGGCAAAGATGAAATCACAAAAGCATTCCAGAGCACAAGCAAAGCAAAAATGTTCACTAAACTGGCTACTGGAATGAAAACTGCTGGGAACTGTCCCTTCACAGGGAAAGAGGCATATTCTTCTAAAGAGAGAAGGCAGGGCATGCAAACATTTCTCGAGAATCTCTCAAGACAATATTATGAAATTCTGGACAGGGTTCACCAGATTTGACTCTTACACTTCTCTTCCCTCAGCAAATTAGGACTTGAAACCCTCGACCCCCCACTGCTCAGGGTGGGCTGCCCCTGGAGTCCTGTCTTCTTCCTCCAGCCTTGTTATCTTGCTTTCCTTGATTTCCCAGAAGTCACATCAATTAAATGTCTTAAATGCTTTTTAAATGTTTGAAACAATATTCATATCCATAATCAAGATGCCTCTAGAGAGGTGGAGTGGGGGGGAGGGGTAAAAGAAGAAAGGAAGCACAACAAAAGTGACTTGCCTTCCCCTACCAGTGACAGAGAAAAGGAACACTCACGGTTTCTCAGAGTTTATCCTGTGTAAAAACAAAAACAGATCAACACAAAAACACTTTCCACAGCAAACACTGTCTTTTGATCACCTGGGGTTTGGGATTATCTATGCACTCTCTCACCAATCAGCTGACAACTGAGAGTTAACCTTTCGGGCAAATCACAGCAAACTAGGCAAGCAATGACTGTTTTTGAGAAAGTGACTGTGATAATGGTTGGCTTGCTGCTGCTAAACTTCCTGTGCCCTCATTCAACCCGCGCACTTAGATTGCGCACTTTGCAGAAAAGCAGCGTTAGTTGGAGGCTTGAAAGTTAGTTGATGGAGTTCACCTTCGGAAGAACTTAGGGAAGGGGAAAGCAACTTCATGCTGTGGGTCTTTAAGTTTTTAACTGCTCCTAAGAAATAAATCCAATGTTTAACAATTGGCTCTGTCAGATAAATTTATGGTTAGATAAAAGCTGATGTTTTCGCAAAGACCAAAAAGGTACCATGTGAAAAATGAAAACTGAATTCTACTCTCTCTAATAACACTAGTAAATGAACTATGATCTCACTTATCGCTAACATCGTAGCAAGTAACTCATCAACTCACTCATTAGACAAATTCCATTAACTTCAGGAATTTTAATTATAAATTCACCAACCTCTTTTCGGGGAGTGATCACTTCTTGTAGTCACGTCTGGCAAAGTCCATTCTCACGTAAATGTCGTTGTCTTCGTCGTCATTGTCCTCAGAAACCGCTCTCTCTGGGGGTCTCAGCACTCGTCGCTGGCGAGGTGGCGGTGGTGGAGCGGCAGCATGGGCCGCCAGGTCCTCACCTCTGGCAGCTTGGTTAAGAGCTCCAGGATTCCAACCTGCGGCCATGTCCTGGACCCCCCTTACAGCCTGGGCACCGAGAACATTAGCAACAGGTTGGAACCAGCGAACGGAGGCGGAGTCAAATCCGACAGTGGCCTGGAAGCCGGCAAAGACAGCGCCAAAGCCGGGGGCCGCGGCTAGCGCAGAGACCACAGCTAATGCCCGGCTCACTGCCAAGAGGGGCGCCCCAGCTGGAACAGCAACCCGGGCAGAAGCGGCGGGAAAGTCTCTGTCCAAGCTGTCAGTCGGGAAAGCAGAGACAGCGGCTCGGGTGTTGGCAAATATACTTTGGGAATGGCTTTGCTGGCGTCTTCTCTCCTGCACTTCCTCCTGCAGCAGCCTAGCTACAGGTGGCCGTTCAGAGAATGGACCGGGAGAGAGAGAAACGTTCATACAGCACTCAGAAAATGGGTCGACTACACAGATTTGACCGGTTTGAGCATCATAGCGAATGGTAGTGTCACCAAAAGGCACGACTGGTCTCATGGCTGGGTTGAAAATTACTTCAATGTATTCACCCTCTTCCATAATACTACCTGTAGCGTTGCCTGGGAAAAGACGAAAGGGCCACCTAGCACCGGCCAGATAGATGGTGTTGGCACCTGGTAGAACTCTTAAAAGATCTGAAAGGCGGATTGCTGGATTTGAAAAGGGCACCCCGATTTCAATATTCAGGTAGTTAGAAAAAGCTGTGCGTCTGGAGTCAGCAATTAAGCCCCATGGATCTGGCAGTCCTTGAGCAGGGGGAGCTGGCACATGGCGCTCTCTCTTAATGAAGTCAGTGTTGATATAGTCACGAGAGCTGTCAGCTCCTCTCTGCTCCTGTGTGGGCTCTACTTGATTGGGATTGATTTTATTTCCTTTTGCAATAAAAGAAAGTCTGTTAGGTCTCTTAGCCTTGTTCTCTGGGGGTTCGTCATCTGAAGGCTTTGCAGGTGACCCCCTATCTCCAGGTTTTGAGAATGACCCCTCAGTGGAAGGCTTTGAAGCCACATCTTTGGTGCCCTGGCTGAAGGAGGCTTCTTTGTCTAGACCCCTCCCCAGGAATTTCCCAGGCAACATCGGAACATACTCACTATGGTCGCTCTGTCCCAAGGGTGAACTCTGAAAAGGACTTGGCAGAGAGAAGTAAGAGCTCCAACTTTTAGAGGAAGAGCCTCCCTGAGGATTGGGGGGATTTTTAGGAATTGCACCTGCTCCAGGAGCCATAAACATGTAGTCACTGTCACTGTCATTGTCCTTAGAGTCATCCTCTTTATTAGTGTCTGGTGCTTTTGGAGGACTTGGTGCAGGTGGTGGTGGGCTCACTCTGGGAAACATCATCATGTACCCTCTGGAGTCTTCAAAGGGTGACCTAGAGTGGCGCTTTTTTGAAGCAGAGAAATTTTGAGGAGCCATTGGCATATAGTCACTGGAACATGCAAGAGGAGCGGCCACCCCTGGCCTCATTGGCACATATGGGTCATCCTCATCTTCATCGAAAGCTCTGGCTCTGTGTGGTCCCCGGGTTGCACCTTCTGAGCTCTCCATATCTCTCATCTCTTTGGCCTCTTTGCGTTCTTTTGTGGCTCCCCTGTCAGCACAGAAATAAAGTCGGAATCTTCCTCCAGACTTCCCTTTTCCACCAGCTGCTCCAGCTGTTGGTGGTGGAGGTGGCGGTGGAGGAAGCATTTGCTGTTGCTTACTCTGAGTGAATTTACTAAAGTATGATCTCTTCTTCAGAGATTTTCCACGGTCACCATCGTTGGAGTTCTTTCCACTTCCTGAGCCCTTGCCTCCTCCTGAGTTCTTGCCACCACCTGAGCCATGACCATCTCCAGGTTCCTGGCCACCACTTGAGCCATGGCCACCTCCAGGCCTCTGGCCTCCACCTGAGCCATGGCCACCTGCCGTGCCCTGGCCATTTCCTGAGCACTGGTTTCCTCCAGCACCCTGACCTCCTGAACCCTGGCCTCCTGAGCCCTGGCCTCCTGAGCCCTGGCCGCCTCCAGATCCCTGCCTGCCACCTGAGCACTGGTTTCCTCCTGAGCTCTGGCTACTGGTGCCTTGGCCACTTGAGCCCTGTCCACCTCCTGAGCCCCGGCCATTTCCTGAGCCCCAGTTGTTCATGGGCATGTAATCACCTCCGTTCCCTTCCTCACTTTCCTTGTCTTTTTCTTCAGAGTTGCCAGAGCTGGAGCCCGAGGCTTCACAAGCTCTGTCGTTGAAGTCTTCTTCAGGGTGTGAGACATGTACACGGGGGCTAGGAGTCACCGGGCGGAAAAAGCTGGGTGGTACTGAAACCGCTCTCCTGGACCTGCGGGCTCTGGGCAGGTGCCCCCTTCCTCTCCTGGAGGGAGGTAGAGGCTCGTTGGGTATGAGGCGCCTGGTAAACAGCATCTCCTCTTCCCTATCACCGATAGCCCTGAGGTGGCGAAATTGCTCAAAGCGGGCTCTTCGGAGCCAGCCGCCGGGCTCCAGCGGGAGCAAGCCTAGGTGCCTCCTAGTGGACAGCAGGGTTAACAGGTGGGCGCCAACACTGATGCTGTAGCTGCGGCATCGGGCTCTGTATTCGTCTGCGCACAGGGCTCTCATTTTCTCCAAAAACAACTCATGCATATTTTGGGCCACCACACTATCATCTACCTGCATCCACAGCTCCCCTGGACCGATGACGGTGGACCTGCCGACTTCCAAGAAGAAGTACTGCTCTGAGTGCCCACAGCGACGAATGCTCAGGAGCTGGACGACCACACTGGCCACTTCAGTATTGAGCCTTACAAACACGACCTCTTCGTCGGTAAGACACAGCCGGAACACGCCGCTCAGCTCTTTTCTGTGCCCCAGCCCCCTGGGTTTCACTACTACCTGCCACACATCTTTGTAGAAGCGTGGCTCCGCCGCCGCTGCTGCCGCCAGGGCCCCCGGCTCTCCGTCCGGCTGCGCGCCTAGCGTGCCGCAGCGGCGGCGCTTGCTCTCGAGGATGAGGCGGCTGAGGAGCAAGTACCAGCTTTCTTGTTCCGACTCGTTCTCGGCTACCATCGCGAAGTACTCGTCTTGGGTGAAAAGGGCAATGAGGTGTCGGTACCGGGCATCAGCTCGTTGGCTCACGGAGAAGCACTGGTACAGGATGATCACGCGCCTTGGTGGGATGAGCGCGGGGACCGCAGCACCGGAGGCGGCTGCCTCTGCCGCAGCCGCCGCGGCGCGGACACTGTGCCGGAACTTCCTGGCATTTTCGTAGTATTCGAGCCGAGCCGGTGCGTCTTCGGTCTCGAGTTTGAGCACGAAGTAACGCCTGTGCCCATGCTTCTGCTTCCTCAGGTAGCCGCGTTTGCAGACTTCATCCCCGACGGGGAGGTCCTCCTCTTCGGACTCGGAGTCTGACCGGGAGCCAGTGGCCGTGGGGAGCCACATGGCTCCCGGACAGGACGGCCCGGTCCCAATGAGTGCGGTCGGGGTTCCGGAGGAAAGAAGCGGGGTGGTCGCCACTGCTGCTAGAGCTGCGGAGGCTGCGGCTGCTGCAGCTCTCAGTCTCCTTAGTGCTCGGTCGCCAGCGAAGGAGCAACTCGCCATGGTGATGCACGGTGGTTTTAAGGTGAGCGGAGGGAAGGGGGGGCTCGAGAAGGGAGGGCTGGGGGAGGAGGCGGTCCCCCCCCCCCGTCTGCCCGCCCCAGACCCCTCCCGCCCGCGTCCCCGCCCACTTTACTGGGCTCACAGCGGCGGGCAAAACAACACGTGACTGTCGCCTCCCGCGGAGGCTGGCTCCAGATCCAGCTGCCCAAGCAGTGGAGGGGCGCAAGTGGCCACCATTAGAGGTGTGCAAGGGAGGGGGCCCGGGGGCAATGGAGGCAGAGCCATCTTCAAATTGGCAGAGATTCTTTGGATGAATCTCAGAGCCTTTGGTTCAAGACAGAACCGACGGGAGGGGGCGGGGCTCTCTAGCCACACCAAGCCTAGTCCAGAGTCCCAGAAGGTGGGGTAGGGGGTGCACGTGAGGGGTGGAGGACAAGGTGGTCCCCCACTGGGCCAGGATGGGGTGCCACAGCCTACATTCAATAGGCTGCAGGGGGCTAGAAGTGGTGGGAGGAGATGGGGCTGGCATAGCAAGAGATGGTTTGTTTGTTTATTTAGGAAGCGGGGACCAGGTGAAACCTTTACAAGGTTCTGATTGGTTAGGATACGAGCCAATGGGAGGGCCCAGCAAGGGGGTGGCCCTGAATTCATTAGTTTAGTGGAGGAGGGGTGCGCTGAGGGATGAGGGGGCGTGGCTGGGGTCCCAGAGTAGGCTTCTCTATCCGGTTGTCTCTGGATCAGGCGATAAACAACCCTCGGAAAATAGCTGTTAATGGTGGTGATAAATTCCTGCAAATCCCAGAGCCACGGTAACCCCTCTGCCCGGAGACCTCTCTCTTTTCTTTCTATAGCTCACATACATTTTCCGCTCCGATCGCAGTCTGCTCTAGTCCCTCCCGCCTCTCACTATGAGCTGTGCTTCTTAGCAGAAAGTGTCAATAATCTCTGGAAACGTATTAAAGACCTGCTGCACACCAAGCTGCACACCAAGCTGCACATGCTTCCTCGCCCGCTCCACCCCTGACAAAAGCCAGCGACTCTTAAGACTCAGGAATAACAGCTGTGCCTTCAAAATTAACGCAATCTGCACACACAGTGTATTTCTAGGCCACGAAACACAGGTTCGCTAGAGGTGATGTTTCTATTTGATTGATGACGACTATGAAAGTGCAATTTGGGGGGCCTGTGAAATATACAGCCATGTTGGAAAAAGCCGGACTTGATTCCTACCGAAAAACAGTGTTGAGCTGTCTTGATATTTTCTCGAGGGCGGTGCTTTGAACGGTGCCTTTTAAGGAATTAACAAATGCTAACTTTCTTTTCCCTTGAAGGAGACTGGAAAACTTTACGAAAAGAAAAGCTCCTATCTAGAACAAAGGACTGTGCTGAATATATGCCCTCGAATAGATTTTACAACCTTCACTTCAAGAAGGTCTTTGCTTCATTTCAGTTTACAAATTGACTTCACACAAAAAAGAACCCACTGCCTCCCTTCTTGTTGGAGAATGTGCCGGAGTGTAAGGTGTAAGTGCAATCTCCTGAAAACTGTCTCTTTGCTCCTCTTTCCTCTCCTCCTCTCCTCTCCTCTCCTCTCCTCTCCTCTGCTCTGCTCTCCTCTCCGCTTCTTTCCTCTCCTCGCCTCTCCTCTGCTCTCTTTTTCTCTCCTCTCCTCCCCTCCTCTCCCCTCCCCTCTTCTCCTCTCTGGGGTGTCTCTGTCTCTCTCATTTCAGATTCGTAAGGATGGAGACAGGTTGAGATGTTGTTAAAGTATCAAGAAGTGACTGCATGTGAAAAGAGGGATGGTGGAACAAATAGCATTTTTCTTTCACAGAATGTAATGTCAGTTCACCCTCGTCCTGAAGTAGATATTGCAAAGGGTAATATTTATAAATCCAACAGCAAATTAGGCAGAGATACATAACAAAAAGATAGACTCCATCTCCTTTTAAGAATTCTCTTTGTTAGAAACAAGAGAGATATATTAAAATAGATAGCACCTTTGTGATGTTCAGGTTGGGGAGGGGCAAAGACTAGGAACAATCATTAACATGTCTTTTGCTTCCAGCAGTTTATAAATCAAGAGAATTCACAGGTGCTAAAAACAACTGTGGGTTTGGGAACGGGCTGGAGGCAGGATGAATAGGGGCTGGAAACAGGATAAATGTGAATGAACTGACGTTGCTACCCACAGGTTTCAGCTGCTTAGTCACATATGTACAAAATTCAGTGCACTTAGAATCGAAACAATCACAGATACATTAATTTGAACTTCTTAGGATATTTTATAACTTCCTAAATGCACGTTTTTTGCTTCTAATAGAATTGTAAAAAAGGCAATGTACATGAAAATACTGTAACATAAAAATTTTAAATATATCAGATACATTACAGTGCTTGTTAAATAAAATTTGGAAAATACTGAACAGATTCAAGAATCCTTGTGACTCTACCGCCTATGTATATAGAGTTTCTATATAGACTTATTATATGTATATTATATATAGAATTTGGTATCTTGTTCTTTTCATTCAGCATTATATGGTAATGCTTTCCCATATTTCTATGAATCAGACTAAACATCATTTAAAAAGTAGTATAATATCCCACACAATTGTGATAAAACAATATATTCTCAGTTCTAATGTATATTATTGTAATTAATCATTTTTCAGTATCATAAATAATACTGCCATGAATATCTTCAATCTCTGGCTTTAAATGTTTAAAACATTACCTTTGCAAACTGAAGACTAGAATTACTAAGGTAAAATATGAATATTTCATACATTATTATTTTTTTTTAATTTTAATTTTTATTTTGCAATACAATTCAGTTCTACATATCAGCCACGGATTCCCTTGTTCTCCCCCCTCCGGCCCCCCTCCCCTTCCCCCCAGCCCACCCCCCATTCCCACCTCCTCCAGGGCAAAGCCTCTCCCGCGGACTGAGATCAACCTGGTAGACTCAGTCCAGGTAGGTCCAGTCATACATTATTTTTTAAATATTACATCACTTTACCCTGCCACCACATCATTTGTGGTCATTAGATAGTCTTAGTTTAAAAAAAACTGATAAACAAAATGCTATCCCACTGTAATAATTTTAATTTTTGTTTGACAGTAAAGTAAAATGTCTATATGTATGTCTACCCACTATGTATTTTCTTCTATAAAGTGTCATTTTAAATCCTTTGCTTTATCTGTCAGATTCTTATTTTATGTACTGATTTCCTTACATAATAAAGATTTTTAAATTTTGTCATATTTGTTACGTTTTTTTTTTCTCAGCTGATGACTTTTAAAATCACATTAAACTTGATTCTCTTCTATTCTAAGGAGAGTTGTAAATTTTTGTCACCATGTTTTGTAGTGCTCTCAGGATCATTTGTAATCATCTCTTTAGGAGATCATATCATATATCTGACCGTGGATGCTTTTTGAAAGGAAAAGCCAACTTGGTTTCCATGTTAACTATTAGAGAGAATCTACACTAGATCAATTTTATGTAACATTCTGAAACAATATGACTGTATTCTCTAGTGTAAGGGGAAATCAATGTATTTTTTTTAAAAGGAAGAGTAGAAATAATTTTTGAACAACCACAATGAAAAGTTAACTGTGCTGATCACTTTGTGCTCGAGGTATATCATTTGACTACAGCAAAGTGGAATTAGAGCTATAGTGAGATGTTTCATGCAGGGATTTTCCTTTGTATGTTTTTTTTTTTACAATAGAAGCAGATCTGGAAGCATGAGCCCTGGTGAGCAGAGAGAATATTTGACTAGAAAAGCATCATTTTCTTCCGACAGCCAAGCAAAGCTCTGCTATCCTAGAGTTCTTACAGCACAGAAGCTTTTGGGAGAGCCCACCATTACTGAAATGCAGCAGATGCTGCAGCTTGCCTGGCATATATTTAAACTTTCATCGTCCTGGACAACTTAATGATATAGAATAGTTGTTTAGTTTAGGTCAGGTTTCCATAGCCAAAATAAAGCAGAGGGTTGGCACAGATATCTCAATGGTTCAGACAAAAGGTGGAGACTTTGTGTTTAGCCTGAACTTGCCTTAATGCTCTCCTTTCCTTTCCTTTGCCTGTGTGTTGTTGTGTCTGAGGGCTTTGTGTGTCAGTGGGGGGGGGGGTGCTAGTTTTTTTGTTGTTGTTGTTTGTTTTTTTGGACTTGTTGCTCAAGAAAGCAAAAGTTGCTTTACATATCCAGTCATTAATGTTTTTAAATGTGGAATCTGAACTGAGCCTGATACACATCATTTTAAAGTAATAGATAAGAAATAATAGCATCTGCAATAGTTCATATTTTGTTCACTAGTTTAGCTTAGGGAAAGCCCACAAGCTTTGCAGCTACTATTTTACATCTAGAAAGCAAAGAAAATGGACAAACCATTGTGGTATCTTTATTCTTCCTGTAAAAAGTATGCATTTAATGGGGTTTGCTTTCAAAGGATTTCTTAGGTATCTTGTTATAAAAAAAAAATCATTTGACTGACTAGTCCCTATAAGTAAAAGTTCACGCTTCCCTTATCCACATGATTATCAGTATTCAAATTCTAAGTTGTACTGACATAAAAGTAGCTAATTAAAATGTGAATTTACTTAGCTGAAAAATTAAACTGTTACGTCAAATACGAACAGTTTCAAGAGACATTATTCAAGAGAATAAAGCATAAGAAATTACCAGCATAATAGAGCTATTATTCTTGCCCAATGTACAAATTATCCTATAATTATTAACTCTTATCTTTGTGAGCTAATGTCCAATTATGTAGATCAAAATGTGGTAGGACTCCTGATGCTCAAAAATGATGCTAGTGATAATGATTGATTTCTCTGTGTTTGAACATAAATAAAGCCACACATGATGAACATGCCTTCTCCACTAAGCAGAGATAAAGGCTGTTGCCTCCGTTTGCAGATGATGGCTTTGCCTCTCAGCTTTTTTTTTTTCTCCTCAAACCCTCTGCTGAAGAAAACAACGGTGAAAAAGCCTGCCTGCTACACCCAGACCAGGCCTGTTAGCTGCTTTTGTTTCCCAGCAGTCTGTGGCTAA